GAGACCAAAACTGCACACAGTACTCCAGGTGTGGCCTCACCAGCACCTTGTACAGCTGCAACATAACCTCTCTGCTTTTAATCTCAATCCCTTTAGCAATGAAGGACAAAATTCCATTTGCCTTCCTAATTACTTGTTGTACCTGCAGACCCACCTTCTGTGATTCATGCACAAGGACACCCAGGTCCCTCTGCATAGCAGCATGCTGCAACTTTTTACCATTCAAGTAATAATCCTTTTTACTATTACTCCTACCAAAATGTATGACTTCACATTTATTTACATTGTATTCCATCTGCCAGACCTTTACACTCAATGTATCTATGTTCCTCTGCAACGTTTCACAGTCCTCTGCACACTAATGGCTACCTTTGATTATTCTGAGTTATATTCTCACTTGCATGCAAATTGACTTGTCAACAGACTCAAGAACAGAACCTGTTCACAATCCGATACACAAGCTTGCATTTGATGTAGCCTGCGTTGGAAACCTTCAACAATAAGTGTGGAGCTCCCTGAAACATATAATTGAATTTCTGTCAGCTGTAGACAGTGCATCGACAAGCAAAGATCATTAATTGATGATATTGTGACATGTTTTCCTATGTATAACTTGGAATTTGTGAAATGCCCAATGACATAAATGTTAGTTGTGTAAAACATTTGGTCCGGATCAATTTCTCCTGGGAAAACCTAGCGTTTGCCATTTCCTGGAAACTGTTCTACCTCATTTATCTTTTTGTGTGGTCTTTGGTCTTGTGTTTTTCTTTTGTCGTGTCTTTTAACATATTTTTCTGAAAGTGGCCCAATGTTTCGCAGTAAAAGCATTTGGTTTTAATAGCCGGGCACAGTTCCTGTCTGTGGAATTTCTTTGCTCCACAACATTATAAAGGGTTTGTCTGCCCAATTTCTGTCCTGCCCATTGTATTGGCTTATCACATATCTGTGTTGTGCTTCTGAACCATAAAAGTTGAATGTATTCTAAAGATCTCCCAAGCCAGGTTTTGTTTTCTCGTCTTAGTATTGAACAATGTTGCTTCTAAATCTCTGCTTCATTTACCATCTGAATGGCTTTCTCTAGAACTGGGACTTCTTTGGTCTTTAAATAAATCTGACAAACACTCATCAGTGTTGTAACAATAATTCAATCACTTATGAATTGTGCCTTTGTCCCCATAGGCGCATCTCTCTGCTAGCCTGGAGAGATCTTTGATGAAATCAACTATGTATGGTCTTGGAGGATGCATTCTTCCATTAAATCTTGCTCTCACAAGAAGCTTATTATTCTAAGGTTGCAATAATTGTGAAAAGCTTTAAACATCTCTTTGAATTTGATGTTTCTTTTATAACTTGGCAAGCAATAATATAATCAGATATGAGCCCAATTATGTGAATATGTGTTGACATTTTCAGCTTCGGACTTAGTATTTGTTTTGGAAGCTATTCTATACCTCAAACATTGTCTTCTGCAGGATGTCCAATTTTGTGTTCTATCTGGCCCATCTTTGAAATTGATTCATCCTAGCAATACTATTTTTGATGCCCAAACTTCCTAATGTGGTTCGGCAGATTGTGTTTTTTGTTTGCAATAATGGAAATCTTCTCATGCCTTGCTGTTGTTTTAGAGGGTTTTTCTACCTTCAGAGCTTTAGTAGAAGATTTCCCACATTTCCATGATATAATAATGCCCCCAAAAATTTCTGTGTTAATGTAGAAATTAGTCATTTCTTTAAATTGCTTAATGGTCATCTGCTTTAAATGATGAGAATCATAATTTTCAGTTCTCCACCCACAAATTATATGAACTTATCTTGTGGTAATGCCCTATCTGAGCTACAATTTATTTTTCAAATTCTCACCCTTTCAGTCCAAATTACTGCATCATTTAATGTTTCTCTATTGCAGCAAGAGTTTTTAGTTTTGACTCATGCAATCTCAATGTCTGTTCATTCACTAGTTCTTTCAGACTCTGGACCATTCTCTTCGATTACTGACTTGCAATGCAGCCTGTCCCCTTACCTTGGAGCTGCACATTTCTTCTGTTCTCGCATTTCTCTTATGAGACATGAAATGCTTCTGTCATTATTTTAAGAGTTCTTCAGTACTGAATGTTGGAACAAGCTATCTTTGGAGTTCGCTGCCATGAACAATCAGTCATATCTGTTTTCCTTGAAGTCTTCTTGGTTACCAGCATGTTTACCTCATTGGGACTGGTGCTGTTACATTACATCTACATCCAAACACTACTGCCATTTTGCAGATGCTTCACATCTTCTACTGAGCTTCTTGAGTATTGCTGGAGCAGCATTCATCCAGCCAAACAAACCCTTTAACAAGGTAAATTGACACTTAACTATTGATTTAAATATAATGGTCAGTCTGCCAATTTAGGCAATTGCACACCCTGTGAATTGTGAAAATGAGCTAGGGAGTCCTTGGGGAAATTCATCAATAAACATACCAAGCTGGAATGTGTAATATCTAACCCATTGCTAGAATAAAAAGTTGGGCATAACTGTAGTCGATGGATTTCAATGCAACTAATTGTGAGATGATTCATTTTGGATTTAAACAAAAAATATTTATAAATTTATAGAGACAACTAAAACATCATGTTTAGTGCAAAAACATCTAAAAGTCAGATGGTATGTCGCCCTTTTTAACTCGAAGGTTAGAATATAAAGGGACACCGCTTTTACCTCAACTGTACCTAGCTTTGATTTAATTACATCTGCAAAATGGTGTACACTCTGGGCACCATACTTTTTACATGGTCATAATGACTTGGATAGAGTAGCAGTGCAGGATCACCACAATGTGGATTAATTTGCAAACTAAGTAAAAATAAACCAGTTTGTATCCCTTGGAATGTGGAATGGAGTGTTTTAATTGATGTTTTTGGTTTTTGAAAGGAATCATTAGCTCTGATAGATAATTTTAAGGATTATTTAAAGATAAATGAGGGCAAGGGCATCACCTTAAAATCAGAGCCAGTCCATCCAGGAGAGAAGTTGAGAAATATTTCTTCATGCAAAGTGTGGAAAGCCCGCCTATAACTAGAAATAGAATGTTGCCCCAAATAATAATTTTAAATATGTGATTAATGGGATATTGCCAAGCAGAACCCAAGAGACTATGCAGCCAAGCGAGTGGGTGGATTTAGGATACAGGTATGCCACAATCACATTGGAAGGAAGAATAGTCTTGAGATTTTGAACAAGCGACTCCTGTTCCAATGTTCATTAGCGCATTTCCTGACTGTAGAGGGCACTCCTCCTGCTGTGGTGTTTCACCTTGACAATAGCAACCCCCTTCATGTTTTCTCTGAAAAGAATAGCCAATTTGCTTCCAACTACTGCTAAATTACATAGTATTTCTATTGAAATATTACGTCCAGTGTATGGGATTGAATCTGTTAAAATTTGGCACCCAATGCAGTTATAAGCTATAGAGCATTAACCAGTGATGGCATCCACACTCCTTCTATATGTGAAAGCTTACTTTGCACCAAAGTGTTTAGATTAGGATAGCGTTGTTACCACCAATAAGTCAATTATGAACAGGGTTGAATATGATATGAGATTTACACCAGAACGATGCCATTCAGCCCATCTCTGGGTATAGCCAGCAAAAGAGATATCCAACTTAATCTGACTTTCTCATTGTTGATCAATAATTATATCATGGCACATTGATTTCCAAGGACGTTTTAGTGAGAAATGTTTCTTGCTCAACCAAACCTTTATGTTGAAAGTTTCCAGAACTCCACTGTCCTTTGGGTGAAAAATTTCTCCTAAATGCACCTCTAATGCTTCTACTAATTATTTTAAATTTATGCTATCTAGTTATTGAACTCCCCACTAAGGGAACTAGGTCCTTATTATCCAGTCCATCTAGCACCTGATAATTTTGTACACCTCAATTAATCCTCATTCAGCCTCCTATGTTCAAAAGAAAAGAAAATTCAAAGAAAAGTTTCAAAGAAAAGTTCTTTTTGGATTTCAAGAGTGAAGAAATAAATAATAAAACAGGTGACATCAAGCTTGAATTTCAACACCTGAACAAGGTAAAAAGAAAAGAATAATTGAAAGGGGCAAGGATTTTCACAAAATGGAGACCCTGGAAAATAAGAAGAAGGCTAGGAAATTATGAACTAATATAGATTGCACCCACAGAAAACAAATGATTGAGTAAAACTGAAGAAGGGCATAATTCTGAAAATTAACAAAATAAAATAAGATAATGTGCAGCATTCCTTTTCCCCAAAACTGTTTGGTCTTGGAAAGAGAAGACAATTTCCAGTGACAATGTAGAGTTCAGAAGAAGTAAACTCAGAAAGTTAAAAGCATAATATTGATAAAATAAAGGGAAGTCGGAATAAGAGGAAGAGGCAGGTTTTGGAGGCCAAAGACAAGAAAAAGATCTGCTAAGAAAGATATATTTTCTTACCTGATCTGGAATATATGCGACCTGTGAAACAGATAGCATCTTGACTTAACAGAAAACATTCTCTTCGTCTGCATGCCCCAGCAGTTTCCACTGGGCCTGAATGTGACACTGATTCCCAATTTTAAAACAAAACAAAGGACTGCATATGCTGGAAGCATGACATGGGCCACAGCACAACCTGAACAAGTTCATTTGAGAACTGGGATTTATATTGATGTGACCATTTCTGGAGGGAAATGCATTTTCATTCACGACAGGTAAGCCTTCAGCAGTCAATGTCCTATCATACAGACAAGTCCTCTTGTCTCTGGTCAAGATTTTTTTTTCAATTTGAGACAAGACAAGACAGCTTTGCATTTATTTTTTGAAGATTGATCTATTCAAGGCAGAATAATTTTTATTATTAAATACTGTGTCTCAATGTAGGGGACAAAAAAAAGCCCTAATCCATCAATTCTCCTTTCTTAAATGCTTTAATTGTGAAATTGTAATCCTGAATATGTTTAAATTTAAAGCAAAGGTTATTTACATAAGCCATTGCCTTGCTATAGCACATGGACACTATAGTTCCAGAAGCCAATCATTGAGGTCAATAGACTACAGGAAACATCAAGATGTTGACGGTTTCCATCGCTATGGGTACTCCTTATCTCAGACAGGTAAGTGGTAAAATGCAAAGTCTTTGTTTCATACTAATTCTTACTCCAGCCCACTGTATGTTTGTCAAAGCTTTCACTATGAAACAATTTCACAATGCTTTTTTTTTATCACTTCTAAACCTGCATGACATTTTTTTCATTTTCCATTCCTTAAAAGTAGCTTGGTTGCTTTAACACTGTTGAACCAGCTTGATTTCTAAGTATGTTCTTTCACTTGCACATGCTTTCAGTTTAAAATATAATGGGGCCCCTTTATGAAAGGAGAAAAGGAATAACTAAAGCCTTAATATTTCATTGCAGGCCTTAATGGTCTCCTGTGGGTAATTAATGAGTTAGAATTTAGTCAAAAAATGGATTCCTAGTTATAATTTGCACTGCTAAATTATAAATGTTAGCTAGAAAGTCAGTGATGTGTCTACTTAAAATAAATTTTGATTAGATTTTCAACCCTTCAAACAAAAATCTCATCTATATGCTGCCCACAACATTAGCAGATTACGAACTGATTTACTGTTTTAAATGCACATGAAAGGGTTTAAGACTGAGCCCTTCAGAATATAACCATCACTTTGAAGTCAAAGTGTAAATTTATAGGTAGAGTAAGATATTGGATCTCTGTGAATTTTCGTCCAATTAAAATTTCATAACTATTTATACTGTAATTTTTAATGTGTCAAAGTACTTCAGCAGAGATTTGGAAATCAAGGCTCAGTAGTAGCTCTCCTCCCTCTGAGTCAATGAACCATCTGGGAAACATAAGCCCTGTGTAATATTGAGCAATTGCTACGTTGTTAGAGGTGTTGTCTTTTGGAGGAGATGTTAAAACAAGGCTTCACCCACACTTTTAAGGCAGATGTAACAGATTCCATCTCACCATTTTGAAAATGTATGAGTAAAATTAAAACCCGTAGGGTAAATGGGGAAGTTATAACATTGGTTATGAGAAAGGTGAATGGTTTGGTTTCAGAGTGGAGAAAAACATTCATTGGTATCCCTAGGCAATTGGTATTAAGATAACTTTTTCTCTTCATTCATAATGAAGATTTCAACGTATAGGGTGTAATTTTAAAATTTGCAGATGATACAAAAGTAAAAATTCTCGTAAGCAGTGAGGAGGTCAGTAACATATTTGGGAAGATATACAAAAATAAAATAAGATACGTAAGAAACTCGAAGCAAAGACTGAAAGTTGGAAGTACTCATTCAGTCTTGGAGCACCTATGGAGGCATCGATTAGGGGGAATTTTATGCTGGTCATGAAATTAGGGAAATAGGTTGGCAGGAGCATTGAAGCAGGTGGGGAGTGTAGTTTCAAGTGCTTGATGTCAGGATAGAAGCTCTGAATTCTCCGGGCAATGGACTGTAAGTGGGATATCAGTTCTGGTTTCACCTAGCAGGAAGCTAATTGTAATTGCTTTTGCGTACAATGAATACTCGTTAAAACACAAGATTTTATGATTAAATGTCACCGCTGTGACTTATATTAGAGGCAGGAAGTACTTTCACAACCATTTAAAACTGGCATGGCTCCAGGAGAACTTGTCTTCGAGGTGGAAGGGCTGTTATCACTAAGAAATTTGCTGTAAAAGAGAGAAGGATGCTGAACATTTCAGGCAGATTGAAGGTGAAGCAAGGTTGTGGGTGACTAAGGGGTGGTCAAGGGTGATCAAGTGAAGGTCAAAAGTGACCAAGGGAAGATTGAGGGATATTGAGTGGAGATGAGGGTCAAGGTGAGCAAAACCAAGATGTACTTGAAAAACATTAGAACATGGTTGAAGACCATCAGTATGGTATGAGCTTGAATTCTCCCCTCTGTCCAATTCCAATTCGTCACATAAATCCAATGTTTCTGGAGCCTTGGTTGGAGGGGAAGCGGTGATGAGGAAGCATGACATGAAGTCCTGGAGAACACTGGCCAAAAAGGCCAAAAAGTCTTGGAAGACCAGATAATGAGGCTGGTCAGTTGGAAGCAATCTGGGTCATAAGCCTAGAGTTCCACCTTTACAGCACTGTGGGTATCCTGTAATGCAGGGACAGCAGTGGTTCAAGAAGGCAGCTCACTGCCACTTTCTCTTGGACATATAGGGCTGGACAATAAATGCTCACCTAGTCATCGAAACCCACACCCCATGTGTGAATTAAAAAGAAACAAAAAAGGGTCAATGTAATGATGAGTAATGGCCCATCCAAGAGGATTTCATAAACACCCCAACTACCTGCAGATGACTGAGAGATATTGACAATAATGGCTGAAGTTATTTAAGGAGTCAATCACTGATCTGTGACCTCTACTTCAGGATGAGATGTTGACCATCAAATTTGGAGCAAACCCAATTCTAATTGTGAAAAAGGTGATAGAAAACAGCAACAGATGAAATATTACAGGTGTGCAAGTGGTATGGTGAGATGTATGGTAGAATTGATGGAGAAGTTGAATGGGGCCCATCACAATGTGGAGTTCATCTAACTCTATCTGTTTTGCTTTTTAGTAATGAAAGGCAAGGTTGTTACTAGGCAGAGGCAATGTCCAATTAGTGGAAATCAATGCTTGAAAATTGCCTTGCTACTGGCACTATTCATCTCATTTATATTCAGACTCCCATCTTACCAAACTTGGCAAACAAGCTAGGCATTGGGAACTTGACAAGAAAACCAGAGCGTGTATCTCGATGATTTTGTTAGGTCTGAATGGTCTCCGTGTTGCCTACTTTCAGAGCTCAGATCGAGGCACAATCAATGGACACCAGCTGCGTACATACTTTTTCTATGGACATTGGCATTCAGTATCAGCCAATCCCAATACAATCATTCTGGCACTTCAACTACTCACTGGGAATGTGCCCTGGAAGCAAATCGAGGGCACATCAGCTACTGGCATCGATAAGCTGCCTCGGGGCACCTTGCGTACAGGGATAAGCACCCAGCTTTCATAGTTGATCAGGCTGCATCTCCGGAACGCTTGCTAGCTGTCTTAATGCTCACTTGCTCAGCTACTACATGAATGCTCACAGCATTGACTTCCTTTCCCTGCTATGCCAATTAGTGCAGTCACAAAAACAGGCAGCCTGCCTTACTGCCATGCTGCCTTCAGCCTAGGGAGTGCACATTTTGTAGAATGGCAGTGTAGTACATCAATCTCATTCCTGCACAATTTGCAACCCATTTATGCAGCAAACACATTGCATGTGCAGCCAGCAGGCAGTCGAGATCTTAATCCCTTAGAGGAATAATCCTCACTGAAGTTAATGGAAGCATCACATCAGTTGGAAGTAGGGGAGAGGGTGGACACAGTAGGTCAATGACACTCTTCCATACCATTGCCAGCCAAGGAAATTGCCACAGTCAGGAAGTGAAGGGCAGCCTTCCATACCAGCTAGATTGGCAATTTGCTTTCTCATTACACAGTACCCAGTCTCAGATGCCCTGCTGTCTCGTTAGTTCCTCCACATATTGGTCAAGAAAACCATCCCGTATATATTCCAGGAATTTCTCCCATACGGCATTGCAGCTAATTTGATTTGCCCAATCTATGTGCAGGTTAAAATAACCGATATTCCCTTATCATATGCATCTCTAATTTCTTATTTAATGCCATTCCCAACATTACCACTGCAGTTTAGGGGTCTATATATGACACCCACTCATGGTTTTGCCCCTTGGTACTTCTCAACTCTACCCATATAGACTCCACATCGTCAGAGCTAATATCCTTTCTCACTGTTGTGTTAATTTCCTCTATGACCAACAATGCCGTCCCACCACCTTTTCGTTTTTGCCTGTCCTTCCTAAATACTGAATATCCTGGGACGTTCAGTTCCCATTCCTGGTCACCCTGTAGCCATGTGTCCATAATCCCAATTATATTGTACCCATTTACATCTATCTGCGCGATTAGTTTATCCACTTTATCACAAATGCTCCATGTATTAAGGCACAAAGCCTTTAAGCTTGTCTTTTTGCCATTGTTTGTCTCGCTCTTATTTTTCTCATTGGCCCTGTTTGAATATTGTCCTTGGTTTCTCCACCTATCCCTTTTCTTATTCCCTTTTCTACCTTTTGTTTTTGTCCTTGCTCCCTCCTTCTTTGACTCCACACATAGGTTCCCATCCCCCGGCATATTAGTTTAAACCCTCCTCAACCGCTCTAGCAAGCACTCTCAAACTTGGAGAGTACTTTATGTTAGATTAAATCAAATCCAGCTATCTGTGGCCCTTCTTTCCTGGTCCGTGTACTACCCTTACAGATTCGAAGCCAGAAATAGTACTATTTGCGATAGAAGTTGTAAGGACTTAGCTGCTACACACCAATCATCTCTCTCCCTTGTAGTCACCTGCAGCAAAGCAAGACCACTCACTTTCCCTTGCTGTGGTCCTCACAGTGACTTTTTTGGTGTTTTTCAAAATTGAAAAGTATACTCTATTCATAAAAACATCTTTGTATATATACGTTGACACAAAAGCAGCTCTGTTCTGAACAGTTGTATATCAAATAAATACACAAATGTTGGAGATTGAATGTACACAAACCAAAGACCTCTCTTACACATACAATACTAATATTTACATATCTTTGACACACTTAGAGAACCCAAGTGTGTCAAGTCCCACAGAGCCAAATATGACACTGGAGAGAGAGAAACACCGAAGTAGTGTTTTGGGTTTAACTGTCCCTTGACAGCACTCTCTCCGGAAACCACTATTTGGTACCGGTGACTGCTCCAATGCAAATCTTCACGCTGACCACCAATCAACATTGCCGCAGCCTTCTGCTGGACACTTTCCTTCACTTGAACTCGAAGATAAATACCAATGCTCCTTTACGTTATTCCAATGATGTCTTTGAACCGTGAAATCACAAAAGGAATCAAAAGTCCCCAACGTTAATGAAACAGTTCACTTTGTGCTGGACATTAGTTATAAGTTTAACTGAAGCTGTCCAAAATGCCATTTCCATGCAACTCTTATTTGCCTTGTAGAAGCAGTTCAGGTAGAGAAAGAAAA